AACTATAGTTTCTATCTCAAACCCCAGGCACCCCATTCTTTGGGGTTTACCAAAGAAACCCTGTGGTGCAGAGTTCTAAGGCATTCTATTCTACATCCCTTTTTTTCCTTCCATCTGAACCTGTTTTCTTACTGTGCACAAAATACATAACCAGTTAGGCCTGGTGGCTATACTTGAAATCCTAGTACTCAAAGGAATAAGGCAGGAAAACCATTGGTTTGAGGTCCTTCAGTCTATCATACATTCTACCATATTTCTAAAAGATTTATTATTTATGTGTGTGTGGCTGTGCAAGTTTATGTGTACTACATGCATGCAGATGCACAATGAGGCCAAAGGGTATTGGATCTCCCAGAACTGGAGTTATACTGAGAAGCCTGATGTTGCTGGAGTTTCTCTCCAGCCTGGTCCCACAGCTGCTTTAGCCCCAAATAAGCACACAGAGACATATTAATTATTAAACTGTTGGCCGATGGCTAGGGCTTCTTACCGGCCAATCAACCAATAAGAAACACACACACACACACACACACACACACACACACACACGCGCGCGCACGCACGCACGCACGCACACATGATACACACACACACATATATATATATATATATACATATATATATAGAGAGAGAGAGAGAGAGAGAGGACATCCCCAGTCTTATATGGGTAAAGGGAACCCTTTTTTTTAACATTTATGCTTTTTTTGTTTTGCTTTGTTTTTTGTTTGTTTTGTTTTGTTTTGTTTTTCAAGACAAGGTTTCTCTGTGGCTTTGGAGGCTGTCCTGGAACCAGTTCTTGTAGACCAGACTGGTCTTGAACTCACAGATATCTGCCTGCCTCTGCCTCCTGAGTGCTGGGATCAAAGGCATGCACCACCTACCTCTGTTTATGCTGTTTTTAAAGACCAGGCTTCCCAGCAGTGAAATAAACATTTAGTCCAATCCAACTTCACACATGCCAAAGGGACCATGATGATGAAAGTCTGCTGGGCTCTGTACCTACCTGGACCTGAGTTGAGGAGGCTGGGAGATGTGGATGGGGCAATTTCTCTCCAAATATCTTTATGAAAAACAGAGGAAGGCTGTGCAGACAGGAGAGGCCACTTGATGTTGGAGGCAAAGGCTTCAGTGACACAGATAGAGTTCCCAGCAGCCACCAGAATCAGAGAGGCTCAGGACACTGCCAGTATCCTCCATGGGAACAGGACCACAGCACCATGCAGAGATCAGACTCCAGCCTAGTGGTACTAACTTCAGACACTTGCCTACTGAATTGTGACTGACTTGCATGAAGCCTCTAAGGTTGGGGTACTTTATCACATTAATTACAAGACACTAATGCAACCACCTCTACCCTTTACCCCAGCCAAATTCTTTAAAGGAACAACTACTCAAACCACAAGTTGGGCAAACTTAGATGTCCAGGTATGTGTTCAAAGGGAAGTGATATTTAAAAGATGCACAGCTGAGTAAAACTTTCCACTTGCAAAGATACAGAAACTTGTTCAAACTCCACCTAGACGTGCCTCCCCCAGCTTATAAGAGTGTGTTTGTTTAGCACAAGAAATTCAGGAAGAATTTTATAACACCACAGCATTGTAACCCAGTTTCTGAGGGAAAATTCTAGCCATGGGAAGCAACTGGGCCAGGACACAGCCCTAGCAATGAGCCCAAAGGTCTGGGAACACCCACATCACTAGACAGTCTCAATACCACAGGAACATTCATGCGAAGGGAGGGAAAATGCCTTCAAACAGCCAGAAAGAGATGGCATAGATGTTACAGAGGTGCAAAAGGAAGGAGGCTGTGGTTTGACCATGACAGAGAATGTGGGTGTACTATTCAGAGGGAGCAGGGAGCTGGTAATGAGGACTTGGTAAGGGTGGTGAGCACTGGTCTAGGACAGGTAGAAAACTAAGCAGCCTTTCCTGGAGTTGCTGAGGCAGCAGAACACTGGAACTCACAGGAGAGCGTACCAGGGCCCAAGCTGATGAGACATGCATTTAAAAGGATGCATTTTGCTAAAAACAGAATCCACTGGGGGAAGGGGAACCAGAAATTAGTCAAGTAGCCACAGAGTTAGGGCTGGAGCCAGGTGGAGAAGAGTTAGAGCCAGTGAGGAAAGACTTGAGGGATAGACCTAGTGGCAGCTGAAGGCAGAAAATGGGAAGTTATTCTAAGTTTCCAATTTGAGTAGTAGAGCAGGGCAGCGGACCCTTTAAGTAGGACAGAACATTAAGCAACAGGTTTAAGGGTGGACAGAGCAGATAAATTCAACTCCGATTCCCTTTCACGAACTGCAGCTTGTAAAGTCCATGGCTGTGGGTTCATAAAAATGATAACTCATAATGAGGTGGTTAAATAAACAATGTGTGGATAAGCATGTACATGGAGGCAGAGCTAGAGGTCCTGCTTAGTGCTTATCAAGAGGTAGAAACATGATGGACTTCTACCTCAGTCCAGGGGCAGACAAACAGGAAGCATCAGCCAAACCCTACAAAAGACACCAATAGGGGCTGGAGAGATGGCTCAGAGGTTAAGAGCATTGGCCGCTCTTCCAGAGGTCCTGAGTTCAATTCCCAGAAACCACATGGTGGCTCACAACCATCTATAATGAGATCTGGTGTCCTCTTCTGGTGTGCAGGCATACATGGAAGCAGAATGTTGTATACATAAATAAATACAAATTTTTTAAAAAACCTAAAAAACAACAACAAAAAAAAGATACCAATAAGCACAAAAGTGTAGCATCAACCCTAAAACAAAGTTGAAGTGATAGCAGGAGGGCAGAAACAGCAGAATCCCAGAGCAATTACATGTGATAGGACAGGGTGGAAGGTATAGGTTAGCTCCAGTGGAGGAACCTGAAGCTCAGAGGTGAGCTGAGAGGAGGGACAAGCAAGGCTTGTCTGCATATATGGTGGGCCAGGCTATCAGGTTATAACCAGATGAAGTTCAACTCTCACCTGAAATCAATGGAAAACCTAGTGTTTACACTGTAGCAAAGGAACATTTTAAAAGACATGTTTGGTTGCAAAGTGAAGGTGGAGTAAAACTTGGAGGCTGGAGGAGAGAGAGAGAGAGAGAGAGAGAGAGAGAGAGAGAGAGAGAGAGAGAGGGAGAGGGGGGGAGGGGGGGGGGGGGGGGGGGGGGGGGTGGGGTGGTTGGTGCTTAAAGTGACTGCATTGTCAGGGCATCTTCCCTGGCATGGGTGAAGCGGCACAGAGTTAATGTAACAGAAACGGCAAGGCCACCGCCCTTAGAAATCCGAAGTGTGGGGGATGGGCAGGGGGCAGAGGAAAGGAAACAACACAGGAGGCCAAGAAGGTGCAAGCCACGAGGCCCAGGGTAAAGTGGCATAGCTGTTATCATTGGGTCTGAAGAAGGAACTGATAAAATATCACATGCCAGAGGTCACCTGAAAGATCCAAAAGTTTCTGTTGTGTTTGGCAGTTAAGTCAGATTCAGAGAACTGGCAACCAGGGTTGAACATGGAGATGTCCAGTGTCCAGGCAACTGGCATTGGAGACACAGCAAAGGAGCTGCAGTTAGTTGGGAAACAATTGGAGAGAGGCTGCTTTTGCACTCTGTGTAGTTAAAAGAAACTCTGGCTTCTATCTGGGCCTTAGGCTCTGCAGTGCAATGCTGATTTTCTGACCTGTAAAGAGAGGTGCAGGGGAACATGCTACCAGCCTCATAACAGGTGGCCCTCTGAAAGCCCTCTTATAAGACCACTTCTCGCTTTAACTGCCATGCATTCCAAAATACAAAGGCATTTTTAAAAAAACCCTTGAGTGATTGTAGAAAACTTTCATTGTGAAATTCTAGAATCTTGAAACTAAAGAAATTCAGAGCTATTCATTTGAAGACTTTTCCCCCCAATTGGACTTGTAGTTTGGTTTTTGTTATCCAGCTGCCTGGTTTCTTTTGGCTGAATACAAAGTCAACTAACAAATGGGACTGTAATCTTCATACAAAGAGGCTAAAAGAGAATCGGGTTGTGTGGGGTTTTTTGTTTATGTTTGTTTTGTTTTAATGAGAAGGTCTCGCTCTGTAGCTCTGCCTCAGCCTCCTGGGTGTTGCTGGGATGACATTAGGGTACCACCCCCGCCCAGCTTCAAACAACCTTTTTAAAAGGAAAAGGTGTGGACCTGCCACCGA